ATCAATCAATCAATCAATCAATCAATCAATCAATCAATCAATCAATCAATCAATCAATCAATCAACCAAACATGCAACACTTTAATCAATCAAACATGCAACAATTTAATCAATTATGCAATTTATCAATTATCTAACTAACTAGCCAATCAATCAATCAATCAACTGACTGGCTGGCCAACCAACCAACCAACCCATGAGCCAACTGATTGATCAGCTAGCGAATAAAAGAGATAGCTAGCTAACCCCATTTCTAGAAAGATCTGCCTGAACTGTGTTCTAACTTTGAGGAGGGGGTGTAGGTGGCCCCCGTGTAGGTCGAGACCTTTTGCACTAAAGTTGTAGGCCTTGAACTGCTTCGTCTTCCAGGCACCACTGATGATTTTGGATGATCAAGTCGTTGCATTATTGGATGAATCAATGAATGAATGAATTAGTGGACAAACTAATTAATTGATTGAATAACTAATTGATTGATTGAATGAATGAACAACTAGATGAATGCATGAGTTAATGAAAAATTAATGGGTGAGTGAGCTGAGTTAGTGAGCGATCATTGAGTGAGCGAATGATTTAAAAATTGATTTATAATGATAAAGATAATAGAAGTGATGTAATCATCTGTCACTCCTAACTCACTCATTCACCTTGTAATCATTTCCTGGGTCAGATCAGTTTCCTGCTTCTCAATGTTCGTCGTGAAGTTGCTGCCCATGCTGACTACATACGACGTCAACTTTCTGTGTAGTTGTTGTTGATGATGATGATGTTGTTGTTGATGATACACACACATACAGACAGGCAAACAACAAATAAACAAAACAAACAAACAGTCAAACAGAAAGACAAACAAACAATTAAACAAGCAATGAAAGACATCTGGCAGACAAATAGCATACATTTCTGAGATCAGTTTTCTTTTTTTAAGTTCATTTTTCTGCTGGTCAGTCAGCTGGTCAATTTGGCCACCCCGTACTAACCTAAAAATAATAATAACAACAACATAAATAACAACAACAATAACAATAATAATAATACACCTTTAAACTCTATCAAAATACAACTGTAACAATTCAACAGTAAAAAATGACATAGCATCATAATTGGAACAGACTATAAAATGTAATATTATTATTATTATTTATTATTATTATTATTGTTGTTGTTGTTATTAGCACACCTGCATTGTTTTTGTACATGATCTTCTATCGTTTCAACCTGGTGATGAGTAGATTGATGGAGGAACGCCAAATAAATGGATGAATAAAATATTATGAAGATTAAATTAATTATTTCCAAGATAATAAAAATATGGATGAATGATTGGATGATAGAATAGTAAATAAGTAAATAAATAAATGGATGGATAAAAGAATGAATGAATGGATAGATAAAAGAATGAATGAATGGATAAATGAATGATTGAAGGAACTAATGAATGATAGTAAAGATAAAAAAGATATTATTTTTTGTTAGTTCACCATGCATAATTTTGATCGAATAAAATGTGAAAATGAGATATATACATTTCTTTCAGCCTTGTCATTGAATGATTATTATTATAAAATAAATTAAAATTAAGAGTTCCTCTTTACACCTTTCTTAAAACCCTTGGTCCCCCATCTGCCTTCTTGTCGATACTTATCCAATTTGAAGACATAGCCTTACTGAAACCGATCTTGCCATACGACGAACCAACCAAATTCTTAGGGTGGGGTGGGTATTGTAATGTTAAAGTAACATTTTTCATTTTACTCGTTAATTTATTTATTATTTCAAATATTATGTGGAATTTGCATTCAATTTTCTCATTTGTTAAATACATTTCTTTAATAGCACAAAATAAAAAGGTTTTTTTCTATGTTGATTGTTGATTAATTGGATAAAGAAAAAACATAGAAAAAAATATCTGTAAAATAAAATAGTTAAGGCACAGAAAATAATTTTATAGAAAATATAAAATACTATAAAAATAGTTTAATTCCCAAACAAACCATCAAATCATCCTGCCTAATACCCCCTTCTGGAACATTTCTGAAAACAACAGCCTCGTGACTTCCCCTCTCCATGACCTCTTGACCTTCTGGGGTCAGCTGCCATCTTGTCTGACTCGTCTGCTCTGTGCTGATCACCTAATAATTACAATAAATCAAAGTTGTGGGGTTACCAAAATTTACCAACTATAAACTTGTAATTAAACAATTCAGTTTAAATGTTGTTTTGTTATGTTACTGATCTCAATTTCATGTTGGCTAATTGTATATACTATGGATGAAATATTCACAATTAGCCACTGTATTATGCCATATTATCTTAATCAGCCAACATAATATGTAAGCAGCTGATTGGGATATTAGGTTATTATGGTAATTAGTTGGAAGATTATGGTTACTGATTGGGATATTAATACTAGGATAGCCGATACTATGATGACTGGTTGGGATATTCATATTAGGATGGTTGTTTGTGTTTGAGATATTATGATGGAATTGGAATGTTATGGTGGCTGATTGCAAATATAATTATCATACTCACAACTACCCAACATAATATTCACATTGTGATGATTTTTATTTGATGCAAGTCACTCAGTCATTTAATTTTTAAACTAACTCTATCTATCACTACTAAAACTAAAGCCATTCACAACTTAGTCACAACATAAATTTATTTTATTAAGTTAGTAAAGTAGGATTGTTTTTAAAATCTTCTAAAAATAATCCATTGACTTAAACTTAACCTATTTCATTGATTAGAAGATTGACAAAAATAACTTTCATTTTATTTTTATGTCATCCTTATTTAATTAAAATAATGGGCGAGTGATAATAGAACTCAACAATATGCTTCCCTAACGTTACAACACTAACATCTCCTAAGGACTGCAAACTTTTAACGGCGCCAACAATCTTCTGGTGATCGATCGACAACTTCTCGGACAAATTTAAAGAATCAAACTTGCCTTGCGAAGTTAATGTTGTAAGAACCAACTCAACAAAATCAGACATCGTCAACTTCCTGTTATATCGCTACTCATCCAGGCAAGACACAGAAAACATACAACATAGAACATTACAACAAACAAATTATCACATTAATCTACTGAATTTTCATTCAAAATCAGCTTTTTGTGCCAGATATTGCATCATACATTTGAAGTCTCTCTCAAATTATTTAAAAATAGTGTTTGGTGTGCTTTAATTTATTGAAGAATTAATGCTTCGTTGCTTTTCTGCTACAGAGGTTGCAACATTCACGTACATACATTTTGTATGCACGCGCAAATGTATGGCGTACGTACGCATGGCGTCTTTGAGATCCGAACAGACAGCATTTGAACCAGGTTACCATTCAATAACAACTCGAAATATGGCAGCCACTTCTATCATCTAATATAACCCTCCGACTCGTTTTACAATTCCTCGTTAAAAAGGTTTCCGTAGAATGTGCTCACCTTTGCAAAAATTATGCTTGATAACTTGGAATGAAATAGTGGAGACATTAGGTTGGGCCAACGAACTTGGCTCGCTTGAATGGTAGACAAATAAACATTTAGTAGTTATAAAACCTTTAAGTTCTGTTTAAATTAAATTTTTAGAATTGTCATATTCTAAATTAATAATCAAATCAAACAATAATATTTTATTTAATTTATTTAACAAAAATATTTAACTTCTAAATATATAATCAACCAGATAAATCAACCAGCAACTAATTAAAAGTCATAAAAACAAATTAACATTCAAAAAAACTGTATTTATAATTTATTTACTTAGTCGCCTGTCAATCAAATTTCAAATTTTAAATTCATCTATTTAAAATGTTATGCTGAAGCTGATATAGTTGCTTCAACTACTACAAAAACAACAATTACAATAACAACTCTACAACATCTTCAACTAATAGTACAACCACAACTGCAGCTTGAACCAAAGCCGATGAAGCTACTACCACAACTACGACTACAGTTAATACAGCTACAACTAAAGCTACGACTCCAGCTACAGCTAAAGCTACGGCACCAGCTACAACTAAAGCTACGATATGAGCTTTTAACTACAGCTACGACACCAGCTGCAACTACAGCTACGACATCAGCTTCTAGTTGGCAGCAACAAATCAGTCAACTAGAGGAAGTCCCCCCGTGGTTGTTGTTGTTGTTGTGGGCAATTTGAATGCTTCAGTTGATGGCTTGAGTGACTCCGACAGTGGTTCAACAGCTGTTTCGGATAAAAAAATGAATAAATGAAGGAATGAATGAATGAATGAATGAATGAATTTGTTAATTAGTTAATTAGTTTATAAATAAATGAATAAATGAACAAATGAATGAATGAATGAATGAAAGATATGAGTGTGAGTGAGTGAGTGAGTGAGTGAATGAGTGAGTGAATGAATGAATGAATGAATGAATGAATGAATGAATGAATGAATGAATGAATGAATGAATGAATGAATGAATGAATGAATGAATGAATGAATGAATGAATGAATGAATGAATGAATGAATGAATGAATGAATGAATGAATGAATGAATGAATGAATGAATGAATGAATGAATGAATGAATGAATGAATGAATGAATGAATGAATGAATGAATGAATGAATAACAAATAAAACGAGCAAAAAAAACGAAACATCAAACAAAATAATAAAAAATTGAATAAATTATGAACGTGAGAGATTGATCAGATATTTTTTTAAACAGTAAATAAATTAATTTTTATTTCAATTAACAATAATTAATTGAATTAATTTTTATTTTAATTAACAATAATTAAAATAAATTAATTTTTATTTTAATTAACAATAATTAACATAAAAACAAGTTGAACACCGTTTAGGCGGTGCCGAAGTTTGTTGAAGTAGAGGTTGACTGAGAAGATCATGAGGAAGAGGAAACCTGTGACGAGGAAGATATTGAGAAGGAGAGAGGAGAGGCTGTTGTCGTGTGGTGCGAATAATCCTGCGTGATTGGTGGATTAGTTGGTTGGTTGGCTGGTTGTTGATTGGTTGGTTGATGAATGGTTGGTTGATTGGTTGGTATGTTGGATTGCTGGTTGTTGATTGGTTGGTATGTTGGTTGGCTGGTTGTTGATTGATTGGTTGTTTAGTTATCGATTGGTTGGTAGTGTCGTTAATGATTGGTTGGCTGGTTGTTTGGTTGATTTATTGATTGTTGATTTGAATGTGTGGTTATTTGATTGAATATTTGTTTAGTTGATTGATTGATTGATTATTAAATGGACCAATCAGTTGATTGGTTGACAAAATGATCGTTCGTTTGACTAACTGTTTGTTTAATATTTCGGGTAGGTATATTTGGTTAAAAGGTTTGAAAATTTTATTTACTCCAAAATGAAAATATATTAAGTACATATTTTAATATCATACATATGTATCTAACAACATATGTATAAATGTTTGTGTGTCAACGTTAATGTATCAATGTATGTGTTTGTTTGTGTACGCGTCTCGATATATTATAAGGTAACCGGCGAGTGTGTTTCTATTCATCGGTCCCTATTTGTCATTGCGATATTTTTTTTAAAAACAACTCATTTGGCCAGTACGACAATTAAGAAATATTTTGAGAAAGATCAAATAAGCCGCGATACAATAAATTTTTCCAATTCATCGTGATGAAGTCATTTCTCTTTGAATCATTCACGTAACATTTGAAACAACGACGCAAGCATCGTTACAGAAAGTATGGCAACGCATAGTAACAATTTTTCATTTCCACATAAAAATCTTCTTCACCGTGATGCAACGACCGCTGGCAAGCACTCAGACGAATTATCTGCCATCCATCTATCTTCCCATCTCGCCAGGCGTGGTATTGAACAATTTTAAACCACTCCAATGTAATTTTATAAAGTCAAAAACGCCTGGGTTTTAAAACCAAGACGAAATCCAGAACGTTCAAAGAATGCTCTTTGTATATGCTGTGTCTTGTTGAAAAAAGTGTTAAATTTGGAACGTTTGGAGGGAAATTAAGATGACCTTTAATTTGACCTTGAAGGTGACCTTTAAGGTGACCTTTAAGATTACTTTTAAAATGACTTTTAAGGTGACCTTTAAGATGACTTTTAAAATGACCTTTAAGGTGACCTTTAAGATGACTTAAAATGACCTTTAAGGTGACCTTTAAGATGACTTTTAAAATGACTTTTAAGGTAACCCTTAAGATGACTTTTAAAATGACCTTTAAGGTAACCTTTTTCCAAACCTCTGCACAAGTTTGTTAATGTTTTTCGTTGTTTGATTTAGGAGTAAAGTAAGCAGGCAGACGAAACAAACATAGATGCATTGCATGTATGTACACGTACACGGACCGACACATAAAAACTCACTCTCGTTGTCCTTACACACTTGGACGCATCACACATAAACGCATAAACTCGGGCTGTATGGACACACATACAATGATATACACAAACCTAGACACACAAACGATGATACATACACATAGATACAGACAAAAATGATCGTCATGAAGATAATCAACCTGACACTGGATCGACCCACAAAACCATCATGATCGTCACCACCAACTTGAACTTTGACCCAACCAACAACTCCACCACAGCCATGTAAAACGGGTTTTTCCAAGCTAATGGACAGCTAATAATGCCTTATAACGATAGATACAGGTTAATTTTGAAAAAAATTCTCTTCAACAAAATTTATATAACGTTATTTATTGATAATTATTAGAAAATTAACGATTTTTATTAATTAATTATCCAATTTAAATCATTTCAGTACTTATTTTGAGATAAAGAGAGAAAAAAAACCCCAAACGATTATTATTTTTATTTTTATTATTATTTATTTTATTTGGCGTCGTCGGTCATCCAAGTTGGGTGAGTTCGGTGAAATAAAAAAAATAAGATGTAAATAAACGTACATTTAAAAATTATATGTGTACATCCATGCGTGTGTGTTTGTTTATTTGTGTGTGTTTGTGTGTGTACGAGCCCATGGTTAAAAACGACAGCCACAAAAACCATCATTTTCCCCAACTCGCTTATCAATGTCAGTTTATTGGTCTCGAACAGAAAGGCAAATGGCGATATTTTCTAAAAGAGAAAACATTTTATTTTTTAAACAACAGAGAAATATTTTGTTTAATATAAATCCTATCATTTTGATCGCCTGATATTTCAACTATTTTTGAGCTAATATTATCAATAAAAAATTGTTTCTTTTTCAATAGATCTAAACCTTTCAATGCATATTGGCAAAAAGAATTTTGTCTTGTAGTTTAAACCTTTATATTTACAATAATCATTTTGTTTTGTTTATTTGATATTTTTGAATTGAATGATTGATTTGATTTTGTTGGAAATTTATTTATAAATATACTTAAAATTAATTTATAGTGGTATTTATTTGTTTGTAATTTATTTGTTTCCAAAGTTATTGCAAAAAAGACATTCAATGTTGTAGAAGTGATTTTCGAAATGCTATAAAAATTGATGTGGAAAAATTAAAAACGAGGCCAAGATTCTTTAAGAAATCACAAAATCGTAAAAAAAATTATGGGTCGCACTTCAAATTGTTTGCACGCGAATTATTTAGTAAAAAATAAAAAATTGAATGAATAGTGAATTGCTGAAAATAAATGAATGAATGAATGAATGAATGAATGAAGGACGGAGAACATAATTAGTCTGAAACAAAAACTGAACATAGCAAAACTTAAAAATGACGATCGATATATTTGCGCATCAACGAATCATCAATAATTAAATGAAAAAAATAAATAATGTAATTGTCTATAATTAATTATCAACAATAATTAATAATTAAGTATACTTAACAATTATTTAATTGATTGATTGATATGATTAATTAATGCTTGATAAATTATGCCGGCTTACATGTTTTTGGAAAATTCAAATTGTAGATATTTGATACAAATGCGTTTTGTTTTAACGTTTCGTTTCTTATCTTCAAGAAATAAATTCTAGTTATGTTTGTTTATGTGTTCATGTGTG